TATCCTTCTGCTTCAGCTTTGTGTTTAGCACAAGCCAATTAGCATGTTATTGTAAGTCACTGTAAGCATGTTTAGCACGCTGATTTTAGCATTTAACTCAAAGCACCACCGAGCCTCACAGAGCCGCAGCAGACTCGTCGTCTTGTTTATACGCTGCCTTTGTTCGGTCTTTGTAAAAAACCCAAGTGGCTAAAACACCCCATTAAGAATCCCTGCTGTTTCCATTCCAACAAATTTCACCTCCACTAAGCGGCATCTTCAAAAACAAAACCAAAAAAAAAAAAGACAGAGGAGTAGTCACAGTGGTCACTGCTGCAAAGTAAAGAGAGGATTGGCTCGTTGACTACAGCATTTCACAAGCAGGACAGGGAACACTGAAGATTAGCATTTAGATTAAAAATAAAACAGGATTAAAACACTTCAGTGATGGAATTCATATCGCTAACAGGTGCTTGAGGTTTAGCGCTTATCAAATGCTGAATAAATCTCCCAAAGTTAGTTACATTTAGTCAGATCTCGTCTTTAAACAGTCGCCAGATGCTTCACTTTTAGTCTTTGAGTACAAGTCAGGTATCTGTGAAAATGATGGGCTCCCCGCCATCTGTACACATCCGCACACGCAATATTTGACTGCACTTGTTGAAAACATCCTGATGAAATTACATCAATCAAGCCGGAACCGTCCAAGTAAAAGCCAAAACTCAAGATGTTCAGTTAAACTGTTGGGAAAACTGTTTCTATCTCCAAGTGACTTTTGATTCATTAAGAAGAAAAAAACTAGCCCACCATGCATTTAGCTGTTTCCAAACTGTCAAACTGAGTGATTTTTCAATTCTGAGCAACTCCTAGCGGCTTCTCTGGGCCCGCCAGTGCACATGTTGACGTGAAACAGGCAAAAAAAAAAAAAAAAAACACCTGGTCATGACTTGAACTCGCGCTTTCTGATGTGTTGCCTTCCATAAATCAAATTAACTGCAGTTATATCTAGTTAATGGGATTAGAGCAGGGACACAATGTAGGAGACATCAATCTGGTCTGGAAGTCAGCCATGAATTGGGTTCTTTCACATCTCACAGGGTCTTTTTGGCCAGCTGGCAGAGCTGCTGGTCCATGATGATTTACAGTAATGTCTCCCTGTTTTGCTGCAGTAGTGACTTCAGTAATTGTACAACATATGCACTAAAGAGCAAAGCTAAAGATAATCCATATAAAACCCCTTTTACATGCATTTGAAATTCAATGGAATAGTTTCTCATTTGAGGAAATACCCTTATTAGCTTTCTTTTTTGCAGGCAGGGCAATGTATATAAGTCTCATATCTGCATTGTAGAGATACCACAGAGGCAAGTCCAGCTTAGCACAAAGACTGGGCAAATGTGGAAACCAACACCTCTGCAGCTCATGAACTGGCCTTTTTTTTTTTACACAAACGGTGACACTAGCAAGTTGTGTCTTCACCAGGGGGTTATGGGCTGAAACTGTTCCTCGGCTGGGCGCTATGACTTCATCGAGGCATGAGCAGAGACTCCAGGAAGCCACTGCTCCCAGCCAAGAAACAAGACAAGCGCATAACTCCCCATAGAAACCATAGATTTTTATTTAGAGCTGCAGTGCAGGACTACATATAAAATGAACACCCATTACATTCGAGCTCTTGCCAAATGAGTTCACACAGTGCTGATTAAGCCTATTGGCACCACATACATCTCCCTGTATCCTGCAGTAGCCAATACCAGAGTTTCACATCTGGTGACATTTAGGTGCTGGTAGAGATGTGTTTTCTGTAAATGATTGCTTCGCCAGAGCCAGAGAGGGGAAGATGGAGCAGGCTACAGCAAATAGGAGCATGACAGAGCCTATGGCAGGAAAAAAAAAAACACTATGAAGAGTCCAAGAAGAAGTTTCTCCTGCTCCAGATAAAAAAGAAACTCAGCACTCAGAGGAAGGATTAGAGTCTAAAAAAGGCATATTTTGTAACATCAACAGTGTTCGTATAATTACTGCTATTGCCAGAAGGGGGGGACAAAAGTTCTGCAGGTTTAGCCACAAATGAGATATCAGGTGGTGAACTATAGTGGAGACAGTAGGTGGAGATTGCTCGCTGTTCCTGCATCCTTTCAGTCTTAATGCTAAGCTAAGCTAATTGCCTTGTTTCCGCTTTTCTGAAAACGATTAGTGACAAATCCTTGCTTTTGACGATATATTACTGAAAGTTTTCACATATACATCACCTGGAAAGTCCTACGACAAAGAATCGTTTCATATATACCCATGAGGCAGCTTCCTCGAACATACAATCTGAAAAACATACAAGACATTTGAAAATGCTCGTAAATTGTAAAATACTGATATTTTTATTTTTCAAAAATGCAGCAGAAATGTTTTATGCTTGACACAATCCAGCCATCCGCTGAGTCAGTAAACCCATATGAAAAAAATATTCAATCAAACATCCATTAAATGTTAAGTTTTATATCGTTTTTGTAAAAGTTCTTTGCTTGCCATCCACAAATTTTTCAGCTTTCGTTTTTCACGTATTCGGTTTGACGATTAACTAAAAAATCTCTCATGAAGAAGTTACTTAGGATGAGAGGAGGTTAAATAGGCCTCACTGTGACAAAGCTGCATGTAGTCGCACAGATGAGGCTGGGACGGTGGGGGAGGACGGGGGGATACAGCCGGGGGAGGTAAGGAAAGGGGGAAAAGGGAAAAGGAGGAAATAACAGGAACATTGCAATACCAGTGACAGGGCCTTTGGTTGAGTTACTGAAACTGTTGTTGGTTGTTAGTTGGAGCAGAGGAAAGGTCAGATTTAGAGGCTTCCTCAAAAGCACCACATCTTAAATACATGACTGATCCTTACAAATTGTTTGGAGCTGATTTTTATAAATGCCTGGTATCTTATTGTAGTGACACAGTGAAGAACAAACCTCAGTAAAGTGAGTCATTACTTCCACAAGAAGTTTTTTGGGGGGTTTTACTAATTAATTTCACTTCTTCTGAAGAATGTCTTGGTGGAGATTTTTATTTTTTATTTTTTAAAAAAGGTTCCATTAAGAAGATATTAAGGCTTAAAAAGCAGCATGTTGAGAGGCGCGTTTGCCTTCGGTGTCGAGTCTTTCGCACTAACACACAAAGCCCATCGTCTCTCCTCAGCTCATCAATCAAATCTGGCTCCAAACAATTGACACCGTGGTGACAGGTAGTAAAGCAAACTCCAGGCTTCGCTATGTGGGTGACACAGCCACATTTTCCTACAGACTTTGGGTGACACTGTGGATAGGTTCTAAGCTACAGCCATTGTTGGAGAAAGGGGGTTAATAAACACACCTCGATCAAATAGTTTAAATCTGCGAAAGGGACGGGGATAGGTAGTTCAATCAGGGGCTCTTCTTAAAACACCCGGGTCCCTGGTGAAGCGTAAAAGGTCAGAAAAAAATAAGAGTTTTTTTTTTGGAATCCAGCTCTAAATTAGGACCCCCTGAATCATCACCACCTGTCTGTCTGTCTGTCTGCAGCGACATTTATCAGATTTCTTAGCAATTAAGGGGAAGGCCTTTGAGAAGAATATTCGGATCAAGCGCGTGTGGGGGGGGGAGCACAGTAGGAAGAGGGTTAAAGTTCAAAGGGGTTCATGGGTTTTTTTTGGGCTGGTGCTCAATCATCAAACCAATATTGCATTATCTACACAGTACAAGCTCATCATCCATGGTCAAAAAATTAGACAGGATGGCGTGAAAATGTCTTATACTTCAACGACTAAACGAGTATCTAAATGTTCACATAGTTAAGAATTATTGAAATGACAGTGCATAGCAAATATAGCCTTTAAATAAAGGTACTGTGTACATATTACAGTGGGTGAGATAGAAAGACGACCAGCCTCGTTTCAGGACATCTATACAATAATATAGTAATATCTGAAATGAAAGCAATAATGTGGTTAAATAAGTCATGTTTTTAATGCAAGAGCAGGTAAATGCTATAAATCATAATATATCATCTGTATCTTTCCATTCTATTTACAAGAGTTTTAACACATAGCTGGTTAGAGTGATTCTTCAGTAAGTCTGGCAACCCCCGTTTCAGAGGCCCTTTCTTCTTCTTCTGAACCTAATTTCTGTCTCTTGGCACACTTTTCTGTGTTTTTCGTATCACTCTATCTCCCTCACTCTCGCAGCTGTTAAATCCCTCTCAATGAAATCTTAATCTCTTTCCCACCACCATCTCGGTAACTTTTCCTTCAGCTAATGTTGTCTCTTTTTTTTTTTTTTTTTTTTTTTTTAATCTCCCATCCCTTCCCTTCCCTTCCCTCCCTCCCCTAACTTCCTCTCTGTCTGTTTTTACATCCATCTCTCATTGGAATTTTTGTTATTTTTCTCCTCAGCTTAGTTTGATCCTTGGCAGATAGGGCCTTTTGATCTTTTAATGGAAAAAAAAAAAATGCTACATTCACATTTCACAGGTTGTTCAAGTTGACATCAGCAGTCTGTGTGTGGTACTCCTTTTCGCTCAGTTCTACATCTGCATCTGCTCACCTCGAGTCCCAGCACGGCTTGCGCTGTGCAACTCAGGTACAGTAGGAGATGTAAATTAACTGACCCCCCTCCCCCCCACCTTGACTCAGCACTCCTCGTCTTCCTCCTCGGGTGTGGAGAAAGCAGATTTAATATCCAAAGCAGGTTTTGAGACGTTTGACGGATGTCTTGGCTCGCCAGGTTATGAGCAAATGATGCACAGAACTGCATCTCCCGGGATCCAGTTTTGTCTTCAGCTTCCTCCCCGACATGCAACACACACACACAGCTGTCTGTCTTTTCATCCTGTTACTGAAAAATGTCTCTCTGTCATTCCATCTGTAACAATCCTGCAGGGTAATTAGTAGAGGTATTTAAGTCTTTTTGTTTTATCTGTGTACGTGTGCATGTGTGTGTGTGTGTGTGTGTTAGTATGAGTGTGTGTGTGTCGTAGCTATGTCCCTGTGTGTACCTTTGCTGCGGTTATACACGCGTGGTGGAGTGTGTGTGCGTGGAGATGTGTGTGTGCGGCAAGTGCGTGTTACTATACGGGCTATGGTGTGTGTAACCCTGGTGAGGATGCCCCATCCTCATGCCGACCACCGATCCGGGTGTCATCGGGGTCATCGGCGTGGCCGGGGTGACGGGGTGCGACCCGGGGGTGACGGGCAGCGATCCTGGGGTCAGAGAGGTCATGAGGGGGACGTCGTCGGGGGAGCGACGCAGGGTGAGGGTGTAGTCGGGCGGGCAGGTGAGGCGCACAGTGTCCAGCGTGCTGTAGATGTCCTGGGTGTCCAGGCCGTCCAGGGCGTCCAGCGTGTCCAGGGTGTGGTGGTGGTGAGTGTTGTTCCTCTCGTCCGCCGACGCGACGTCGCACTCCAGCTGCTTCACCTGGAAATAGCGAACGGTCGGACAGGTGATGAGAGATCGAGGAGGAGGAGTGAAAACAATGAGGGCAGGTAGCGAGACGAAACTAGGGTGGCAACGGAGGGTTATTTTTACCAACATCACGCATTAAAATAAATTAGAGGGGCTGTAATATATGTCAAGGAGAGCTGTGATGTATTGATGTTGACTTTAATATTAAACAAAATAAAGAAATACTGATTAATGTTAATGATACAAATGTGATCATATCATAAATAATCCACAACTGTCTGGTTGACAGTCGGATTGTATTTTGAGCAAAATTAATTTGCCAAAAAATAATTAATTTGGTTGATCGTGTTTTGTTTTGTCATTGTTATTATTAATTATTTTTCCCACAATAACCGTGTTGTGAAAATCTGATATGATGACAGCCCCGTTATAAATTAATCTACCAAATATTTAAGTGATTAATCGCTAAATTATGACAGTTCTAAACTGCAAAATGTTTGAAAATGGTTGAAGTTTAGTCGCGTCAAGATTTGTGTTTTGTGCAGCCAACCTGCAGATTTTTAATTTACGATATGAAGCAAAGAAAAGCTCCCAAATCTTACAAACGTGCCTTTCATCTGCCTAGTTCTAGTCAAATCCTGTGTTATTATGGGAAGATGTTTGAAATCAGCATCATACATCATTATATAGTCATAAGCACGCATAATACAGTAAAACTTCGGCTGTTCATTTTAGCTGACATAAGACTTTACATGTACAAGAACAGATTCAAAGACTAATTTTGTTAATTTTTAAATATCATTTACCAGAGTTTATGTGTAATTATCGCATATTCACAGCATAAAAAGCCCACAAGTATACAGAAAACAATAATTAGTCCTATATTTAAAGAAAAACTGGCAACCCTTCTATCTGTGTGTTACTATTTCTGGCGTAGACACCTGCCAATTAAGCAAATATGTCTCTAAATACACTTCCACTCTCTGCAAGCCTTAATTTACTTAAGTGTAAGACTCATTTTAAAAACACCAACATCACACATTAAAATAAGAGAGGCTACATTCCTGAGAGCGCCGGGGCACGACTGCACCTGTTCCAGAGCCAGATTTAAGCAGCCGCACATTTGGCCTGGCCTTTCACCGAGTTCAAATGAAATCCACCCTGTATCGTGCCATTCATCAGTTCATTAGTTTAGGTGATGCTAATCTGCTTTTCCTACCCAGAATCATGCCTAACTCAAGCGTAAATCACAATAATGCGTGCTAATGCAAAAAAGAAAATCTTGACTGTTGCATACAAAATGGCAGAAAATACCACATGGAGAAAAAAATGACAGTCACAACAAATAAAACACAATTTAAGCTGCTGTCGTGTTCAGCTACATTACTGTAGTTCAATTGCCAATTAACACAATTTGTCAGCCATAAAAGATATCTAACATTTAACACTCACTGTGTGAGATTTCAAAGCAGCACAGAGCACAAAAGAGGCCAAATAGTGTGTGGATGAATTAGAGGCAATTGGAAGCAATTCAAGCAATTGTACACAGCTCGCACACACACACACACGCACGCATGAAAACACTAACAGATACACACACACACACACACACACACACACTCACACTGATAATGCCTGCTGATGACAGGCTGTGTTTTGCAAGAGTGCTCCTCTGGCAGCTGCTCCACTGACAAGACAAGAGTTCAGTCATGTCGTCGAGCAACCTCAACCGGCTTGCTGTTGCTCAAACTTCAAACAATATGGCTGATTATTAACAATTAGCATGACTGTTTCCTCATATAACGTGCTTTTATGTGGTCACATGAGCACACAGAGGCTTCAGTTGTGATGAAATGATTGGCTCACCTGTAATGACATCAGTCCCTCCCCTTGCAGGTGAGCGGCTACATCCGCGGGTGTGATGTCTCGTCTCGGCGGGGGGAGCGGACGTGGCCTACGGTGTTCCAGGCGCCTTTTGTCTTTCTTATAAAGCAGAGCCGCGAACGCGAGTATGTTAAGAAACAACAGTGAGGCTCCCACTGCAATAGTCACCGAGAGTTCAGTGGAGTAGTCCTCATTAGGGACACGGACCCCGTTTTCCCCTCCGTCTTGGCCGACAGCGGACTCGGGCGGCTGCGGGGTTCCTCCCTGTGAACCCGGGTGACGCGTGCTGCTGGGAGGCCAACCTTTGGCCAGACGCTTGGTGTAAGAATACGGGGTGTCGTCCTGCGGAGAGGGACTATGCGTGAAGGACGACACCGACTGGAGGAGCTCGTTGACGTGATGCAAGTGAGGAACCAGCTGGAGCCAGAAGGAGATCTTGGTGGCGCGGTAGTGGTCTCTGACGCGGGGCTTGAGGCCGATGTGGAGGTACAGCTGCTCTTTAGGGGTGTACTTAGACCAGGCGACTTCTTCGAAGCGATTGGGCTTTGTGTGGATGAACTTGGTGTCTTGAGGAACTGGCTGGTTCGGATCACTGGAAAGACAGAAACACGGAGTTATTTAATGTCTGTGAAGACTCTCAGTCATCCAGGTCGGGGTTATTCTCGTAGATTAATTGTGGGACTTGCTTGAGTTCCTTGAAGAGCAAGTCCAGGTGCCACGATTAGTCTACGAGAAGAGTTATCTAATCATATTTCGATGGATTGGCGTTATCCAGTCTTGTTTGTACACTAGAGAACGTAAACTAAATGTCCTCAGCAAAACTAAAATACCTGAAAGCTGAGAGTATCTTAACCCTTTATGGGGCATGTGACCATATTTGGTAACTTCCTGGGACATTCAATATGTCCGCCCTGTGCCTGTCCTTGAGGTTGAAGAACCATGTGCACTTGGATTTGGTTTTTATATCAGTGCCAACATCACAACCTTACAAACAAATGTTCCAGGCACTTTATAAACGCTATGTTACTGGTTTGCATTGAACTTTTGAGATTAGTGCCACTAATACCACGACCCCAATAAAAATGGTACTAAATGAACTTTCCAAGCACTTTATAAATACTTTTTTAGTGGTTATGGGTATAATTACCTCAAACTAAAATGTTTCTAGCTGAATGTTTTTTGCAGTTTTTCTTTTATTTATTATGAATTCCCTTTAAAAAAAAAAAAAAAAAAAAAAAAGTAGATGGGCAAGTTACCATACATGGTAATTTTATTAACCTTGATTTGCAGCCTTTTTTTAAATTCACAAAAGTAAAAAGATCTTGAATTATCCTTTAATAACACCCTGGGGTTGAAATTTTCAGTTTTCAAGTATTTCCAGGACTGCCCCTATAAAGGGTTAAGATATGAAAAATCAAGAGAGAATAAGCCTCAAAAATAATAGTGAAACATGACAGCGATGTAGCAGCATACAGTTACTATATATACTGTATATATGTAAAAACAACAACAACAAAAAAAGCAAAGTACTCAACCCCATTCAAAGTTTTTCTCTTTTACTGGTTTTCAACATTGAATAAAATGTAGCTTTTTGGACAGGACTTAAATAATGTTTGTAACCAAAGGAGTAATTAATAAAGAACTACTTGATGAGCATCAACACTTTTGCAATCACTTATTTTACATTTTAAATTCTTCAGTAGTTGGCATTACTTTGTAGAAATCTGTTTTCGCTTTGACATGAAAGAGTCTTTTTCGTCTCCAACAGTTAAGAGTTTACAAAAACCCCCACAAAGAATACAGCCACATTAACGTTTGATCAAATTAATTATTAAGTAATTAAAACGATAAAAAAAAGTACTCCATTAATCTAGTGCCTTGTTTTCTACCACTTGTGGTTCCCGTTTTCGTTTCAAGTATAAATACCGATAATTTATTCAACTTCTCAAATGTCAGGGAGTTCGAACAGAGCTGGCGACCGTCCTCTGAGGATGCTGAGTTTCTCTCAAGCCGGCCAACAGTTTCACCAGACGTCTTTCTAATCGATATCAAAGTGACAAAAAAAAAACACACCAGTGGCAAAAAAATATTTTGTGCAAAGCAGAACAAGATTTATTTACCTGATAACAGCTCAAAGGCAGCTTAGCTGTAGATGTCTGATTTTCATCCAGTTTACAAAACATCCCTGTTAATGCACAGCTCCAGCTCCTGCAATCTGAGCTGCTTCAAATCCACATTAGAGACGAAAAACGCGCAGTGAAGACACTCTGAGAAATCTCTCCTCTGACACGTACGGACAGGCGTTTATTTGTTGGTTTACTGACTTATTTGTGTCAGCAGCCAGAGTGTTGTGAATGAAACAGCGGCACATCTTCACAGACTTGCCAGTTATGCGCTGTGTGCTCACTTGTCAATCAACACCTTATGAACGGCACAAAAAGGCAGCCGGCGTAAAGACCTACCGTCACGCAAACACACACAAGCTGAGGATTTATACGCCCACACGGAGGCTTACAAAATATACATCAGGGAGCATCGCATCTCTCCCGTTAAATTGAGCTGTCGCAGAGTTCCATCACCCTCTGAGGCACTCTCAGCAGAGTGAAATCTTTCCTCGGAGAAACTTCCTCCTATTGATAATTGAAGTGCACGCTGAAATCTTCCCTTCCCTCCTTGGCGATTTTGCTCCGCGGCTTGCTGCGGTGGTAATGGCAGACTATGGGATAGAAAGTGCTAACTTAATGCGCTGAGACTGCCTTAATGCATCTGCATTAAAGACAGCTTCTTCTTCTGTTTTTTTGTTTCATGCCACAGTCCAAATACGTGAGAGCGCCGTCCGGATTCTTTATGTTGTCAGATAACAAGGCGCCGCGGTGTTTTAGATCAAGGAATAAACTGCAGATGTCTCTGTAAATCTGAAGAGGTCTCAGTGGAGGGAGCCTCAATTGGATTAATTACTGGTAATTACTCACTTCGAGCACTGCCGAAAGAGGGTCCATCCTCAACAATTACTTTTATCTTGTATATCATGTCGGAGTGGAGAGATAAAATGTACTCTTATCAGTATGGAGTGTCAGGTTTGGGAAGTTTTAATGTGGACTCTATCTTTAAAAACATTTTTTTTTTAAAGCTACTGCCGGATTATTTCATTTCCAATTCCGTAAATTGGATCTCTCCTAGCTGCTGGCAGTTTTTTTTCTTTTTTTCTTTAATTTTAGAATGTTGAATAAATTCCCTATCTCAAGGCGTCTGTTTTAAGCATAAATGACTGAGAAGAGAAGAGAAGAGAAGAGAAGAGAAGAGAAGAGAAGAGAAGAAGAAGAAGAAGAAGAAGAAGAAGAAGAAGAGATTTATCCAAACAGCGCCCAATCAATCAATTCCCTTCTTCTTTTAGGACATTACCTTGGCTTTCCTCAAGGACTTTTTCAAGAACAAGGTCCCAAAAAAAGGAAAAACCTTGTCGAGATTTTGACATGACAGAGAACCTTTGTGCAGCCTTTACCAGAATTAGTCTGCCGCGCTGCTTTCATGAATGTGTCTAAAGTTCTGTCTTTTCGTCAGACATCAGAGACCTGTTTGAAGGAAAAGACATAATACCATATCCTTCGCCTGTGAGCTCATTATTTTTGTTGCTCTAAAACTTCGGTTTTCCCTCTAATGCCGCATTAAAACTCTCTCTCAGTTCGAGCTTCCATTCCAAATGAAGCCTCGGATGTCTGGAAAACATGTTTTTCTGTGCTATTAAAATGCTACTTATCTTGATGGGAAAACACGGTATTTAGGCTGATTTATTATTCCTGCAAACTGATGCCTTCATCTGATGCATTTATCCAAAAAATGGTTTTCAGCTAATGCAGAAACTAGTTTGTATGAATGTTTTAATGGGAAACACATTCGCTTTTTTCCCATTTGTACATTAATCAACATCATGGTGAATGTGCCGGTGTTCAGCCAATTTACAACCGCTGTCTCTCGGCCAGATGGTGAATTATTAATTCACATCTATACCATTAAACTAATGCTTCAATTATCAACACATTTAAATGTCCTCTGTTGTCGCTGTGTGTCTTTGATTGTCCTCTTTCTGCGCGATCGCTGACTGATAACTGTGGCTCCCTTCATCTTTACTATTAATCGATCCAGCAAATTAAACATATGGAGGGGTATCAAGCACAGCTAAGTGGAGAGGCACTGCGCTGTTTATCTTGATAACGCCATAGACTTGAATCTTGGCTGTCTTATTTCAAGCTTGGAGAGGATTTGTTCCTGTAAAATCAAGAGTGAGCTGTCCACAGTTACAGCAACAACACTTCACGCTGCCAAAACCTTGTCTCTGCGGAGCCGAAGGGAAAAAAAAGAAGCGAAAAAAACGGATGAGGAACAACTGATCTTCCATTTACAGCTACGCATTTCCTTAAATGTGATTAAACGTCCTGGATTTAATTCATTGCCGTGAGATATTTCCTACATGTGGATGGGGATTAGGTATTAATAGCCATTAGATATTAAAAGAAAGCTGAATGATGTGCTTTGTTTTCGTCTTGTTTTCTTGATTTTTCGCTGCGAATAGTGAAAAAGAACGCTTTTCACACAACAACAACAACAACAACATCTCACATCAGTGTGCATTTTAATAGCTCACCCGGTCTTGGCAAAGTTGGTCCAGTATGTCATAACCACTGCGCTCAGCATCACGTCGTTCTTGGAGAAGTTACAGTTGAACAGATCAGTGGGTCCCACCATGGGCACGCCGAACACATAGGGCACCTACGCACACACACACATGCTCACGATGGAATAACTCGCTGCTGGGAGTCCACAGATTGCATCGATTCCCCGACGGCAACCGAATCGCATCAATCTGCTTCACATGTGAGTGAGGCGAAGCTAAACTCGGGTCACTTACTCATCTTCACTTTCAGTTTTAAATAAATCAAAAGAAGCACAAAACTTTTCCTCTGTCACGATGTAACACAACTACTGTAAGAAAGCTGTAATCATCATGTAAATGTATGTGAGAAATGCAACGGCGTGCAGTTTAAAGTCAGATCCGGTAGCGGAGCGGCATTTAATTGGATCATATTTTTCATATTGTGGTATTTGAGCACTTTCATGTTATATCATATCTCATGTTTATAATGTTACTGTCAGTTGCAGCGGTTGGGGCGCAGTATTTTTTATTTTTTATGCATTCTTATATCTTATGTTAATGTCATTTTCCCACCAGCAGTATTAAGAGGAGACCGGAGGGCTTCAGCAGCGGGGAAAATAGAGCTGTTATGTAAAGACTCACTTTGCTTCCTCCTCGCAGTCACTGTCATAGGCTATATATATATATATATATAAAAGACTGATGTAGCTGTGGGAGGGCCAGCAGGGGGCGACTCCTCCGGCTGGAAAAAGAAATCTGGTTGTACAGAAGTCGATGAGAAAATGACTTCTCAGTTGATATGTAAAGATTTTCCAAACGCCGAAAGACTTTTTGAATACAGCACAATTTCATAAATGATGGTCCAATTTGATGTCAAATCAAAATATTAGGTTTTGGGGCGGGGCTACTTTGTGATTGACAGGTCAGTACCGTATGGGCATGCACGGTATCCTTCTCAGGTAACGTCTCATTCGCTCGACAAGCAAACTCGAAACTTCAAAACAGTAGTCCACAAAGCGACGGGTGAAACTACATTAACAACATCCATGTTTTTATATCCAGTCTGTGGTCAATGCACACATGAGCTGAGCAAAGTTTAAAATGTTCAAACCAATATTCCTCTTTTCAGGTGAGTCCCCTCATGACAACAAGAGCATCAAGGATAAAAATGTAGACATGCTCATTGGGTATTGTGGGTTGGTGTTGTAGCATGTAGCCTCTATTGTTGCTGGTTTAGTGCACAAGCTCATTGTTGTGTTTAAATTGTGAGTATATTACAAATCAGCTAGATTACAGCATATTTCCTTTCATTGGTTGCTTTAAATGTTCAGCAGGATAACTGTACACATTGTGACACCTGTACAGGTATTTGTGTTCATTGTATGAGGTTATAAACAAGTCATTACACACATAAGCAGAGGAAAGTTTGTGCCCTTATATCTTTCATGCAAACAAATCCCCTCTTTCACGACTTATTTAGATAAAAAGGACAGCTTCAAAGTTCAACCTGCAGGAAACTAAATTCTATTAACACATCAAACATTTCGAGCTCTAAATGATTGCTTAATTCCTCGCGTTAAGCACTTTGAACACATCAATACGAAGCAGCATCTGAACCGAAAGCTCCTGATTTATCATCCGAACACTGCAAACTTCTTTGAGACATCAGTCATCTGCATTTTGCCTCGATTTGCTTTTAAAGTTAATTACCCAAACTAATCACTGCATTTTGTGAAATCTTTTCTCCTCCATTTGATATCGGATCTCATCTCTTGTGTTGCTGCTTAAAGACACGTCTTTTCTTACGGATTAATCTGTGCGTGTGCCTTACCTCGTCACCGTGGGCGGAGTCGGCCCAGGGCGGCGTGGCATCGCTCTGGCAGTGGTGGTAGAAGGAGTAGAAGTAGGTGGGAGACCCGTACTGGGCGTGGAGGTCGGCCGTGGCGATCGCTGGCGCCACCCACTGGTGGTCCGTAAAAAGCGCCACCAGCGTCTTTCGGCGGGTTTCTGCATTGTCGCGGTCCGCCCAATCCGTGTACATGAACCTTTAATAAATAGATTTAAAATTAGCCAACAGTCAGTCCATCATCTTTAATCTGTCGTTGCTACTGCAAAAAAAAATGCATAAACACAAGAAACATCACCCAGTGTTCCCATAAATATGCATAAATATATAAATATGCTTCCATTAAAATCCTTTTAAGGGAGTAGTTCAATATGTTGCTCAGGACATTTCTTGAGAAGAGTTTCATGAGAACATTCTTGTCTCGCATGTGTATTAAAATAAATGTGAAGCTACAGCCAGAGGACGCTCAGTTTAGCTCATCAGCATCTCTAAAACTCACTCATTAATATGTTGCATCTTTTTCAAACTATTTATTGATTCCGACGCCGCTTTCCTGGACTTAATCACTGCCCAAAGGCAAGAAGCCCTCAATGGGAGGGGTGGAAGTAACAAATTACATTTACTCGCATAATAGTAATAAAATCATTTTTTTCTGTGTCTGTGCTTGTATCTTCTTCGTTTTTATAAATAAGCAGTTTGTCTTTTACCTAATTATTGTTTGTCCCACATATTTTAACTACACTAGCATTTGTTACAGAGTAAAAACGAGCGTCGCAGGAAAAATGAGAACAAAAAGGAAGCTACAGCAGCAGACGTGAAGCTGCAGGTTTTACAGGACAGAGCTTCATGTCACAGAGGAGACACTCAGCACTTTATGCAACACATACATGTTCTCTGAAAAACGCATCAGAGCAATAACATGAAAGATGGCATCCTACTGAGCAAAAAGAATCAGTGATTTTACATCGTTAGCATTGTTTGAAAATTTGATTTATTTATTTCTGCTTATGTTTCACCCCTTTCTCTCTCTCTCTATACATATATACACATTTATGAATATTTATTCTTTATTTTTATTCATCTTAATATTGTTTCGGTGTGGAACAGGTTCGCAACGCATTTCACTGTGCGTTATACCGTGTATAACTGTGTTTGTGACCAATAAAGGCCTGAAATCCTTGAATCTTTACAAAGGTTTATTTTTTATTTTACAGATTTTTGTCATTATTTTTCAAATCCACAAAAATATCAATAAAATTATGGCGATAAACGGTGCATTTACATGTCTAAAGTAAAATAACAAGAAAAACCTGTAACTGTGAATAACCACAGAATTTCCTTTTTTTTTTTTTTTTTTTTTAAGAATTTTGACATTTTTTGACCAAAAAATCCTTAAATAGCCTCACACATTCATTCTAATCTCACATATATGCATCCATTATCTATACACGCTTTATCCTCTGCAGGGTTGCAGGGCAGCAGGAGGTCACTTAAGGTGAAGGCAGGTTTCACCCTGGACAGGTCGCCAGTCTGTCACAGGGCTACACAGAGAGATGATCAACCAAGCACACTCATTCTATATAATAGACAAAACTGTTCAATCTAAGTAAATTAAACAGTTTTTATTTTTCATATTAGATGCAATCAGTGCCAACCAACAGAAAACGACTGGTTTTCTCATTTTACACAGATCTGATTGGTAAATGGTGTAATGACAGAAGTTTTCAAAACAAAAAATGTTGAATAGATGTGCATCAGTTTATAATATCTACAAGCAATCTGTCAAAATACCATTTTTATCCCTTTATTACCATTTATGTAGATAATTAAACTGTTTTAATATATTAAACAACAAACAGCCCAAAACTTACACAATCATATGTAAATTAAATCTACAAAATGGATTTGAATCATGAAAAATGACCGTGCTTTCATGAGATTGTTATCTTTATACTATTTTACAGTTTTTTACAGTGTATGGTGCAATTGTTAAAACCAGAATTAGTTTAACTAAGGAAAAAAAAAAAAGGAGCCTAATTAACCACTGATTTAATGCACCACCCGGCAATCGCGTTAAGTGATCCAAATCAAACACATCCACTCTTGCATGACCAACAGGTGCATGCTGGGTCCAGCTGAGAGCTAAATCTTAAAATGCTGGATCCTCCAGCTGTGACTTCTACCTTCACTGAGCTTCTTCACTCAGTGAGGCGTGCACGTCTGCTGCGACTTGCAGAGCGCTCATTCGGCTCGCTGTCTGAAAACTTGCAGCCAGACTGAGAAGACTTTGCACTTTGCATTGAGAGGGAACAAAAAGAGAAGTTGATCCCAGAGCAGAATAACGATCGGACAGGTGAGTACAGCAAACTGACTGGGGGGATGTTTGTCCAGGGGAGAAGTCCAACTACCACTGCGTTGCCTAGCAACACAGAGTTTTGTGTGCTCGCTAATACACGTTTGTGGGCTGCAGCTGCTGTGAATATATCTGAGTTTTTATTGTTGAGAGGATCTCTTTTGATCGCCATATGGGTGCCTCATCTGTTAATTGTTCTGAAATGGCTAAGTATCTGATTTATGTAATTTAATACAGAGGCATTAGGTTTATAGACACCTGCTGCATGGGTTTTGTTCTACTTTCTGGTAAATTACATTTGGGTTATAGGAAGCTAGTTGTATATTTGGAACTTATCATGAGGCTGCAAAGTGCCTTTTGTTCTATATTTGAACATCGAGCCTCGGTGCAGCAAACCCAGGAAAGGTAGAAGGATGTTTCACTAAATTATGGCCATCATTACTGTTAAAATTGCAAGTTTCAGTATCTCACCTAACCTGGAATCACCACTCCTAACTCTCTACTGCATGTCCTGTCATCCTGGTAGACAGACCCGGGTAGTTATAGAAAAGCCCAAAAGCAAAAGTCCTTTTCCTTCCAAACCTTCACACCAGGAGCAAAGAGAAGAACCACTCTGAGCTAAAGCATGGACTCTCTAACCTACTCGGTTAGCATTTCACAGTAATAAGTGTCTAGTGGTTGTTTTGGTTGTCTCTTATCGTATAGATTCCTTAATGCCTTGAAGACAAAGGAAAAGCCAAGATAGTCCTTAATGATGTAATCCCAGGTAATGTCAGTCTATTCAACTGTTCTCATGAAGCAATTTGCAAGTTCTTATTTGTCTTTTTCTATTTTATGTATAGAAAAACATCATCCATCCATCCATGCATGCATTTGTAACAAACAAAGTATTGGACCAGCTTCAATGTGCACTCCACATCAGATGTTACTCCCTTTAGTTTGTAGCTCAGAGGTTTTTGTATAGTTAAATCAAGAACCTCCGCTCACCCTTTAAACAATTACCCCTCTTACAAAATGCAACACGATCACTCTGCGTACATTTTACCTCATTTTCCTTTAACTTTTCAAATAATTGTACCTTCACTTGGGTAAAATTCCTCCAAAGAAACCGTATTTTTTACTTGAGTGCTGTTTTCCAATCCTCCTTCCACTAAACAAACAAGACGTAACGGGTTAATTTGTGGGCTTCAGAGACGCTGGACGCTGCCAGGCTCGCTCTTCCTCCTGTTTATACCAAGCGAAGCCCAAGTCTCCTTACTGTAGCTTCATATTTAATGGATGGGTGTCAATGTTCTCATTTAACCCTCAGCGAGGAGGCCGACGAGCATATTTCCCAGAATGTCAAAATATCCCTTAAACATATTCAGACGTTTACACGCTCACTCACCGTATGCTCTCTCTCAGCGTGTCCCGGCCCTCCGGGTATCCGTACAAACTATCCACAAAGTCCGACACGGCGAAGTCAAAGTCCTCAGCGGTGACCCCGTCCTCCGAGTCCACGATGCCCTCCACAAACTTGACGCCCTCGCCCTGATTGACCCCCAGCATCACGTCGTAGTTGAGGAACTCTCCCTGCTCCATCAGGATCTGGGGGTCATCCGGTATAACATCGCCATCAATCACGGGGGCAAAAGCTGTGTGATATTTGGCCGGCGTTACGTTCTGCTCCACCAGCTCGCGGTAACTCCGGCCCTGCAAGCAGGCGACCAGTTGCGTGCTGTCGTCGATGCCGCAGCCCACCCGTTCGCCGAGCTGCCGGGCGTACTTGCTCGGCTGGTAGTTGACGGCCCAACTGGCTAAAGCGCTGCCGCTCTGGATGATGGCTCTGTGGAACAAGTCTGACACACATGAACACACAAACATGAACACAAATATGGGAGCGTTAAGTATATACAAAAGAGGCCAATGTATACATTTATGAATGCACATGCACACATGCTTGAGTGCGTTTGATTACACACTGGAGGGGGGGGTTACATTTGCACACATAAGCAGATGCAGGGAAAAGCACTCACACGGGAATGCATTATGCAAAACTATGACCAGTCATGGTTTGAGCACCAGGTTATAGTAGGTGAGGGTTAAAAGTTAAAAAGTTAAAAATAATACAGCTCTTAGCTATATGAGTCAGAGGCTGGCTGTATTATTCAGAGAATTCAAAGGAGGGGTTTTTTTTTTTTCTTTTTCCGGCATTAAGGCCAGTAAATGAAGGCTGTGTCGCTTCACTGGAGACACTGAAAAGTTTCATAAATGTCAGAGGCTCCACAGCACCTACTACCAACTATCATCAGTATCTGGTAGAAATAAGGTCCTCTGTGCATCTTCTAGCAAACTGCAGCTGGAGCAGGTGCCTCTTAGCTGGAGGACAGAGGATTTTCAGAATACAAAAAAAAGAAAGGGGGACAGGAGCACAATGCTAAATTCACAGGCTTTTATTGGGCGAAATGGGGACACAGTTCATGGCAACTTATCTTGTAATAGATTTAAGATCCCATTTCAATTATCCAATGACAATTATGCACCTGGTTGGGGTTCAATCAATCTGTCTGTCTCGTGTCTTTTGACTCTGATGAGGACACAGTAGAGTGTCTGCTAATAAGATGCTGTTAATTTTATCAGTGCACTCCCGTCCTCTCTGCATCTCTGTTCATGCTATTCATTTATTTTAAAATAGAAAAACTTAAAACTGTCTCTTACCCTCAGAGTAGTGAGACAAGGTGAGGAGGCTCACGCAGGACGCCCCAGCCCCGGATCCAAACACCGTCACCCTGCTCGGATCCCCCCCAAAGGCCGCGATGTTCTCCTTCACCCAGCGGAGAGCCTGGATCTGATCGAGCAGGCCGTAGTTCCCCTTTGCCGCCTGGTCGCCGGTGCTGAGAAATCCTACAGGCAGCCAGAGAGAGAATGTTAAATATGAAATCAAAGCTGTGTAGAGTTGAGCAAACTGTGTTGAAAAAGAAAAATCCATCAAACGAAGACATTCTTAAAGAGAGAGTGTCTCTGTCTCGCAATTGTACAAACATGAGCATGCAAAGGGGGGTGACTGGTTGGATATGAGCTCAGCCCCACTGTTAAGATCAATTATGCACATGTTGAAGGGAAAAAAATGGGAGTGGATCAAATCAGCAAGGTACATCCATATTCATATGAGAGAATGTTGAATTACACGCAGGCATTAACCTACACATGCATGCAGCTCTCCCATATTCCCTTTACTACGAACGCTAAGTAAACACAGAGGATCCTAATGGCTCACTCCACCACAGCAGTATCTCATTACTGCAGGAACTCATTTCTACCAATCTCATAGCACATAAGAGCAGCTATAATGAGGAAGAAAGGCGGCGCTAAAATAATACGTTTCATCATTTATGCACACTTTGTCTGGGAAAAAAAAAAAAAAAGGATTCATTTAGAACAGCTAATTTCATAAATATATAGTGTATGGTGTGCTTTAATCCTGCAGTAAAATTCGGGTCAATCTTTCAATGTTCTTTACAAAAGAAGAAGATAGTCCAGCTGATGACACATTATGTGCATAATTGTACATTGTTCTGCACACACGGGCTCACCTCATACATCCGACTTATGATGACAATGAGGAGGAGGAGGAAGATGAGGAGGAGGAGGAGGAAGAACTGCTCCTCCAGATGATGGTGAAGATGGTGATGATTGTATCGGAGATGGTGAACAACACATAGGATGGAGATGAAGACACAAAGAAGCATGTCGGATTGGCTTTATTTGGCTCAGAATGATGATTACAGCTGCAGCAGCCTTTTTTTTTTTTCGCCCCTCCAAGGTCAGAATTAAACGGTATTTTGTTTCAGCCACTAATCACATGCAGATTTATGCCACCTTATAAAATCAATAACTAATGAAAGCCTTGAAAATCCGCATTTAAACGCATTTTAACCTTTTAGCAGGTATTCTAGTTGAGTCCACTCTATTTTCATAAAAGTATTCTCTGCTTAATTAAAGGAGAACCCAGATGTGCTTCTTTCCTCTAGATGAGAAACACATCACGTGCACTCTTTAAATGGCTCGCATGTATACATGATCGATAAAATGTGCTAAAATTTTATGACACAGCACAAGCACCAACATATTTCTAAAGAAAAACAACCAAATGAGGTAAAATTTCCTTCATTTTGCTCATTTTTCTGGATAAATCCGCATAATTCTTATGACAAGCATCATTTAAATACATGATTTTTTTAAAAACGATTTTAACTAATGGTCTTTTTTTTTTGCAAATAAAACAAAAACATACTCGGGTAGATTAAAATGAGTCACGAGCATTACATAACTTTAAACACTGCTGCACAAGCTAAACCAGACGATTAATTATAAAAGATACGATATCCACACATTTCTCTAACCTGCCAGCACATTTTAATTAATTTCATCATTTGAATTACTAAATGGTGGGCAATTCCTTATGAGCGAGGGCTTTTTTCTTTTTTTCTCCCCCAGTGGAATGATACGTATCTTGTGCACTTGGCTTAATCAATATGAAGGCAATACTGTGCTCACACAAATGACTCAATACTCATGCCTTCAGGACAGTACAGTAAATGATGCCTCGTGCTTCTGTATGTTTTTAACCCTCCTGTGGCCTTGCTCAGGCTTTGTATTTTTAATTATTACAGCACAACAAAAAAAAAAAGAGCCTAAATGCCAGGATTCTGAGATATTCTATTTATTCAGCCCGTGAGCTTCGGAAAGCTGTCTAAAATTAGAAAAACCACAGGGAATCATATTTTCGCTGTTCAGAGAGCAATGAGTCAGAGAGTCATGGAGGTAAAAAGGATCAGATTTGAGTCGATGCTAGCAGTGGAAAAAATTGGCTTCAGGGGGTTTATTTCCACTAGGGACACCCATACTGAACATGTTTTCACTCAAAAAAAAACACAAAGCAAAACAGAAAACAACAAAAAAAACAAAAAGGCGCTTTGGGTAAAAAAGAAAACAACTCGCTAATGGTTTTCACATTTTATAGCTCGTTGAAGGATTAAACAATCCAGATGGTTGAAGATACTCTAAATTTGATCACGAAACTGAACGGTTTTGTTGAGACATAAAAAACAACATTTCATTTTAAGTAGAACTGTCACATCCTGAAGGAAAAGCTTCAGATGATGAGGAGGGAAAAAAAGGGAACTGATCAGTAAGGAGCTGCCGAACGTTAAATAAAAAAAAGGAAATTGCATTTACGAGCTACACATTGCGTCAATCCTCTAAACTACGGCTCCTCATCGTTAATAAACAACAATACGACACCCCACAGGAGAGGGAAAACACAGCAACTACACGTTTTCTGTGAGTGCATCACTTTGTTCTCTACTGCGATGTGAGTGACAAGCGAAGCTACATCTAAACGCTGATGACTTTCAATGCGTTGATCATTTTTCCCGGCTCTGATCAATCCGGTGAGTCATCCGCTCCCATCGCTTATCCGTTACTACCTCTTTCTTATCCTCCTCTGCGTCTACTGTGAGTAAGAGATCCATCGAACAGCTGAATTCCCAACTTGCGTAAATGCCACCGAGATGCGTACGACGCGTTTCCAATTATGAGCCATTCGTCATCCTTCTGGCGAGGCCCGTTCATAAAGCAAATGACTGTACAGTAGGTGCGTGAGACTGCAGTGATACCCAGAGCACCTTAGCAGCCATTGCACCGCTATTGTTCTTGCTCAAAGGGTGGAGCGTCGGCTTTGAAGCCCAAATACGGGCATTTTTGATGTGGATTGTTTCACTATTGACTGCTTCCTTGTTGCTTGCATTCAGGGCGTCTCCCGTAAAATCCAATCAGCACTACAAAAGGAAACGCTAAAGCACATACAAAGCATCTATTTACCAGCACAGTGTGATTCCCAAGTGGCAAAATGTATATTGCTTAACACTGAATGGAATATATTAACTGGAAAAAAACAGGTGAGTCTATCATCAATGCTAACAGAATAAACTACACACTCAGAGTACAATCAAATTACAGACATACAGAAGACATGTGTGGCATAAAACGTAGATTATTTACCCAGTACTCCCAGGCGGTAGTTGAGGGTTATGACGATGACGTTTCCGTAGCTGGCGAGCACGCTGCCGTCCATCATGTTACCGGTTCCTTCTGTGTAAGAGCCACCGTGGACGTAGACCATCACCGGCCGCTGACCCCCCTCCTCATGGATGTCTGAGGAGGAGAGAGAAAGGAGGGTCAAGATAGATAGATAGATAGATAGATAGATAGATAGATAGATAGATAGATAGATAGATAGATAGATAGATAGATAGATAGATAGATAGATAGATANAGATAGATAGATAGATAGATAGATAGATAGATAGATAGATAGATAGATAGATAGATAGATAGATAGATAGATAGATAGATAGATAGATGCAGCAACATATGGTCTGAAAATGTGTTCAAACGCCCCTGAAGCACCTGATGCCACTTTTTTTTCTGCATGTCTCTATGCACAGATCCGCCCACTTCCCTCCTGCTTCCGTTCTGTGAATAAACGTCGAACTCGTGCGCGTCTGAATGTTCACGTGTCAGTTTTTATGCATCTCAGCCTTTGATCACTATGTGAGCTTAACACATACAAAAAGCAGAAACGGCCTGTGCCTCCCTTGCTTCCCTATGCTTCACATCACCCGGCCTGCTTTTTTTTTTTTTTCTCCAGCAGGTGGATATAAATTGAGGTCGTGGGAGTGTTCACTATAATTGCTTGTGTGTGTGTGTGTGTGTAGGGTCACATGCATGTGTATGAACCAATATGTATGCATGAGTGAGTCTGTGTCCTTCCCACTTTCCTCCACAAGTAAAGGCGTAAACCCCGTGGCGACTGACGCAGGTGTCTGCATATTAAGTGTCGGTTCAACCAGCGGCGTGCAGAGAGGTAAAGGGAACAGGGCACTTTAAAAAAAAAACTTTGTTTATTTGTTTAACAAAGGTATATCTGTCCCCTGACAGGATGCTTCCATGTTTAAATTATCTGTCACAGTCAAAATGCCACCCTCAGGTGTCATTCTCTTAGCTCACGTGTGAATTTTAGTGTAAAGTGAAGCTAAAGCCTAATCCCCTCCCTGCATCTATTCAGCCCTGCCCCTGACAGCCGGTGCCCACCCACTGGGTCCACTCACCTTCCTCAGTGGGCACATAGATGTTGAGGTAGAGACAATCCTCGCTTTGGTGAGTGAGGTACGTCGCTGCTATATCCAGGTTAGCAGTGAGCCAGGATGGCATCATATCTCCCAGCATGCTCCTCTCATCCAACGACTGAGGGCACACGGGAGCGAACTGCGTCACATTTCGTATTCCCGGCCAGGGCAGCGGCGGCTCGGGCGCCTGGAAGCGCCGATCCCCCGTCGGAGGCCTGGCGTAGGGCACTCCCAGGTATTGGATGACGGGCCCGAGGAGGTCCGAGGGCAGCGGGGTCAAGATGCCCCGGATGCGGCCCTGCGCCGTGGAAATGACCGGCACGGTTTGTTGTGCCGACGTGGAGGCCAGATAGAGGGAGAGGGTGAGGCAGAGGGAGAGGAGGAGGGACGGAAACCCGAGGGGAGAGGAGAGGGACGGAGGGGGGCAAATTCTGCTGATCCTCGGCCCAGGCATGATGGTGGTGTGTTCAGGGGTAGCTGGAAGATGAGGGACAGGAGGGGATGGAGGGAGGGATGCGGGGATGGAGGGGAGGAAGTTGAAGGGGTTACGGATGTGTTGACCCTTTAGAGGTATCCAACACTCACACACAGCTGCTGCTCAGCTTGGCCCATAGCACATGCAACACACAGTGGCTGCTCTCGCAAAACAACCTTTATCCCCCCTCGTGTGTGTGTGTCCGTGTGTGTGTGTTCCTGTGTGTAAATCAGTGCTTCTGTGCCTCTGAGTGTGTGGTGACTCAGTCAGTGAGTCTCTTGAATCCGTGAGTGCATGTATGTGTGGAAGTGTTTAAGCGAGTGTGTACGTCCTGGACGGGCGATTTGAGCACGTGTGCATGTCCGTGTGTGTGTGTGTGTGTGTGTATATGTGTGAGTGTTTGTGTACATGCATGTGTGTGTGTGTGAGTGTATGTGTGTGTGCGAGTCTCTCGTTATGTAAACAGTAGCATCACTGTTCCTCTGTCACTCTCTCCTTCCGGTCACCCCCATAACAAGCCCAAACTGCCGCCTGGAAAAAAAAAAAGAGAGAGAGAGAGAGAGAAAGAAAGAGAGGCAGAGAAACGGAAAGAGAAAGAGATGGGATTTAATTAGTCTTCATTAGAACAATCAAAGTGCAAAATAAATCAAATGTCACACAGAGAGAGAGAGACACACACACACACACGGGAGACAAACATAGACGGCATCAGAGGGATACGCTGTGCTACCTTTGCTTGCTGTTAAAAATAGATATGAGAGTGATAGATAGGGCAAACGAGATGTTGTCCGCTCAGCTTAACTCGGTGTCAGACTGTCAGGGGCTGCTGTGTCACATCCTCACTACACACTGTTTCACAGATCACAGGACCCCGGTGGGGGGATGGGGAGGTGTCACGTCACACGCTTAATTAAACCCTGAATACACCGAGGGGTTCCTGACCTGCATGTAGCATAAGGTAGGAAGCCTGTGACACACACACACACACATGGAAACACACACACACACACACTTTGTTCTCCACCTTCTTCATCTGACACTTTTCTCCATCACCTTAGATGCTCGCACACTCTTTGTCACTCCTCTCTGTCTCCAACACACACACACACACACACACACACACACACACACACACACACACACAGCTGCTCCCCAGCCTACACTGCTATCTCTCTCTCTCTCTCTCTAAGGGCCTGAGGGCAGAACATTAACACATACACGCATCCACATAAGCGCACAGAGAAAGAAGCATCAATTCCTGTATAATCACACACTCACACACACACTGTAAGCAGCAGCAGGAGGAGAGAGGGGGGGAAAGAAAAAAAAAACTGGAGTGTAAAAATGATCAGCACTATCGCTCCTCCCATGTTAGATTGTATTGGTGTCGGCTGTCCAAGGTGCTAGTTAACATTCCAGTGGTGATCACACACACGCTGATGAATAACGCTCCATTTATCAAGGCAAACCCGCCTGCCACCCTCCCCTTGTGTATTTTCATATAGAAAGAAGAGATAAGGGGTTTTAAAAATAATAATAATAATAATAAAAATAAAAATGCATGAGGAGGGAGGGAGGGATGGAGGGAGGGAGGAGGGGGGGGCTTCGCTTGCATTGTAATGAACAAGAAAGAAAAGAGGAAAAATAAGTGTGAGGGGGAGGAAAAACGCTTGCTTGCTTGCGAGGTAGAATTCCCTGTCTAAATCTCTATCGGCACTGAAGCTGACTACGGCAAAACACACACACACACTCTCTCTCTCTCTCTCTCTCTCACACACACACACACACACACGCTCAAATGCAAAGCCTCAACCTGCATCCCCGCTGCAGTAAAAAGAAAAAAAAAATCCTCAAATGACAAAATGTAGGATGTACTGTACCCAGCCTGGGTGAGAGGTGTGAAATTCCACGGAGCATGTTCCCCCCTTTAAAACGTCTCCACCGCAATATTCGCCTTGTGCTTTCCGCTGCTGCAGCTTATCCGACGTGCCCGGGATGGGATATTGGGAGATATTCCTCTGCTGCTGCTGCTGCTGCTGCTGGTGGAGGTGGTGGTGGTGGTGGTGGCACGTCTCCTGGGTGGGAATAACCCAAAAAAAAAAGAAGAAGAAGAAGAAGAAGCAAGAAAAAAAAAACAGCCCTCAAGCCTTCAGTCCGAAAAAATGTGAAAATGAAAGGAGGAGAGAAAAAGATGTTTTGGGTAGTGTAAATTTAAGTGTTTCTCCGAGGAATCCAGGGCCCAGGACGTTCAAATGATCAATCTCTCCTCTCTCTCCCTCTCTTCCTTTCTTTCTCCTCCCCCATCTCCCTCTCGCTGCCTCTCTCTCTCTCCCTCTCTCTCTCTTTCTCTCTGTTTTCTCTTCCTAGATGCGATTGGACAGTGTGGCAGGCAGCAGCTACTGATCCAATGATACGCACCTAGGAAGCGCAGACCGGAGAGATGAGGGGAAATGGAGGAGAGGGAAGAAAAAAAAAAAGAGAGAGAGAGAGAGAGAGAGAGAGAGACCGACCTGTTCGTGGAAACACACACCAAAAGTGCACACCATTACGCAAAGTGCATTTGCGCATAAACGCGCGTCGGTTTTACGCACACCTGTAGAGGGTCTCGTCGCACCTTAATAAATGAAAACCTAACACACAAGAAAAAGAAAGAGAAAAAAAAGACGCTCACACACACTCACACACGTCCTAAGACACCTGCAGACTCACGCACACACCTCAATAAATTTACAAATGGTGCTGGAGTACACAGTGACCTCTTCAGGACCAGAACAGGAGAGTCTGTCCCCATTCTATTCAGCTCTCTGCCTGCGAGCAGCTTTCTCCCCAAGGCACTGCGTGTGTGTGTGTGTGTGTGTGTGTGTGTGTGTGTGTGTGTGTGTGTGTGTGTGTGTGTGTGTGTGAGTGAGTGTGTGTGTGCGCGCGCGAGTATGGTAATGCAGTTGGTCTGCAGTCGCTACTAACTGTGTTTGGGAACACTCCTCACGTCAGCACAGCCTGCCGCAGCAGCATTCAGGACTTTCTATTCCTCTCCCCCCAACAATCTTCCATGCACTCATCCATCTCTTTGTCTTCCTTGTCTGCCTCTCGGTCCTGTCTGCCCGTGCACTTGTTTGCTTATTCCTCTCTGCTGCCCTCCACTCATATCTCTTGACTCCTCCCTCTTCTCTCCTGTGTCCTCTTTTAAAGCAGGTTGTCCACAAATATCCAATAAGGCAAAAACACAAAACAAGTGCAGAGAAGTCAATTCGTGCAGATGGGTTTTGAGAGGATATTTAGAGAGAGTGGCACAGATTTATAGTTTAGGAAGCCACTGGGTTCATAAGAGCAGGAAGAAAAAAAAAAAAAGCCCAGACACTTGTTCTTTATAACTGAGACTACCATTAGCATCTGTGCTCATGTTCATATGAGCTTATAAGGTAGAGTTTTAGCCAGACGTTAGGCCTGTGCAGCCCAAAGATGTTATCAAGGAAATGCAAGGAATAACTCTGAAACTGCCAAACTGTTCAAGTATGGAACAAAAAACACAGTTGAAGCAATTTGTACTGCATGTAGAGGTCATAATGATTCAAAATGTTTAAAAAAACAAAAAAGCAAAACACAATAACAATGTGTAATGTGTCAATAAAATCACGAAATGATCAATACACTGTTAAAACTAAATTTACCATTCTTATTATTATGAAATATTCTTCTTAACAATAACAGGGTTTCTTTCAGGTCGCTCTTAAATAATTTTCCTATCTGCCATTTTAATTGAAAACGCCTCTTTTCACGATTTCACAATGATTTTTTTCAATCAGTCACCGCCAGTGGATTGGAGCTTTATGCTAATTGGCTGATCTTTTGATATTGATTACTGTTCCTGGACAGCACGCTCATGATCCCCTCTGTTGACTAATGGCTACAGCTGCCACATGCCTGAGCAATGGCCGTGGCAGACAGTAATGAGCACCATGCAGCCCATGGACTGTATGTAAAGATGGGCAGCGTGTCAGCATTTAAATACACAATGCAAGGTAAAAGTTTGCAAATATTGGAGCCGCACACATTCCCTCAAGATGTAGAAGCAACGCAATCGACTTACCAGTTGGTCTGCGTTCCAGCCCTCACCCATGGTCATGAGCTCTGGGTAGTGATCGAAAGAATGAGACTGCGGATGCAAAATGAGTTAGCTCCATAGACTCATCCTCAGAGATGGGAGTAGAGTCACTACACTTTTTCTCCCATTGAAAACAGTCAGCCGAGGCGGCTCAGGCATCTTATTAGGATGCTCCTGGGTGCCCTCCTTGGAGGTTTTCTGGGCACGTCCAACTTTGAGGAGACCCTCGGGTAGACCAAGAACTCACTGGAGGAATTACATATCTCATCTAGCGTGAAAACGCCTTGGGATCCCCCCCAGGAGGAGCAGGAGAGCGTTGCTGGGGAAAGGGACGTCTGGAATACCCAGTTTGGCCTTGCTGCTACAGCGACCTGACCCCAGATAAATGGAAGAAAATGGATGGATGGACACGTTCCCTCAATTTGACTGACGGTTGGGCCACCCTGGGGGCAGCAACGGAACGGTAAACCCACTGACACTAATGCTGTCACTGGCTAACTATCCACCTTGCAGAAATTCAGTTACATAGTTTCCTGGTGCAGTTTCATGAGGGATGTTCTTCGTGGTAACCTTCAGCAACTATACGATATCTACTCGAGAACAATTAATACCCTATGATGTTTAAACAGAGACTCTGAAATATAGTTTTGAAGCATCCTGAATTGTTCGTCTGGCCCAGACCCTGGATGGAGAGGCATCATTCACAGTCTCTGATGGAAACCACAGCAACAACAGGGGACACGTGAAAAGATTCAAACTTGATGCAAGACTGAAGCAGCAGGACTTCCACCAACTGCTGATGACCATCCTCACCGTCTCCCCATGCCACAGAGGC